TATTTTTTGGAACTTGACAAAATGATACCAAATTTCATCTGGAAAAATAAACATGTGAGACCAGCCAAGGAAATTCTGAGGAAAAACAAAAGTGGTGGAGGAGGACTGGCTTTACCAGATGTTAAAACATCCTAGGAAAGCACAGTAATTTTTAAAGTTTAGTCCTGGAAAAGAAGCAGGCAGCTCCATCCAGACCCGGGTGCAGAAATGGATGTAGGACTTCAGCACGTGAATGGGAGAAGGCGTTTCACATCAGAGGGGAAAGGTGCATCGTTAAAAGCCCGGCGCGGAGATAACTGGGTAGTTGGCCATCTGGAAAAAATAAAACAGAATCCCTACCTCACCCCCTACACCCAGATCAGTTCCAGATGGGTCCAAAATTTAAACCAAAAAATGAAACCATAAAAATTCTAAAAGAAAACATAGGTGAACTTACAATCTTTGGAAAGGAAAGATCTTTCTAAGCAGGATACAGAACCAGAAGCCACAATAAAATTCATTAGGGGAAATCAATGGGTAAGAAGTCCCAAGAATATTTTGAAAAAGATGGGGAATAAGCCCTCTCTGATATTAAAAAAAAAAGATTAATGGGGAGAAACAGGCTTTCCTCCATAAACCAGTTCAATACGTGATAATGGTATCTTCCCCAGACAATGAACAGTAGGAAGAATGATCAGATGGTGAAGTTGGGACATCACAAAAGGAAACTTAAGTTTAAGTCCATTTTCCACATATACTTAAGAATAAATTATTTATAAAGCAAATCAAATCTTAGAAAGGCTGGCCAAAACAATAAAGGAATATTGAACAGGACTCTGGAGGGATGAGAACCTTCCAAGCATCAAAATGATTGAGGAAATCACAAAGAAAAAGGAGAATTGATTCAACTATTTAGAAAAGACCTTTTGTCTCAAAAAAATCAAAGTCCAACAATTTTGACTTCATCACATTTTTTCATTTCTAGGTGAATAAAAGTATATACCAAATCAAGACAGAAGCTGAACAGGGACTGGCATTCACCAAATTAATTGCTTTAATTTAGAACACATCCATACAAGTAAATGAAAGAAAGATATAAAACCTAACAGATAATTGACAAAATCTGAATATGAAAAGGCCATTCCCAGAAAAACAAATTTGAATGAATGGTAGCCATATGGAAAATGTTCATGCTTACTCATCATCAAGAAACAATACTATGCCCTTTGGTGATAGGTTGAAAACCTATCAAAAGGGTCAAGATTTTTTAAGTTTGAAAATACCCCAAATATATGGAAAAATAGCCATTCTCAAACACTGGTTGTGGGAGTATAAATTGGTCTATTCCACTCCTTTTAATGGCTGCATAATACTCCATGTGTGGATGTAGCAGCATGTATTCAACCAGTCCCTGTTTATGGACATTTAGGATTTTCTCCTCCCCATTTAGTATGAAAAGTGGCGCCAGGATGAGGATCCTTGGACACACACCTTTGTATCCATATGTAAATACAGTTGTAGAAATTCTTGGCAATGGAATTTTGAAGTGAATGATGCTTTGCTATGAAATTTTTGACAGAAGTTTCCAAACTGCCTCTTGTAAGGTTACGGTCATTTGCACTCTGACCAGTTGGATTTGAAAATATCTGTATTCCTATACCTTCTCCAGAAGTAAAACTTATAGCATTCATATTGTTTTGTTTTCATTAAGTATATGGATAGACAGATTTTTTTTTAAGGCAGAATCTCACCCTGTTGCCAGGCTGGAGTGCAATGGCACAATTTCAGCTCACTGCAACCTCCGCCTCCTGGATTGAAGCAAGCCTCCTGCCTCAGCCTCCTGAGTGGTTGGGATTACAGGTGCCCACCACCATACTCAGTTAATTTTTGTATTTTTAGTAGAGACGGGGTTTCACCGTGTTGGCCAAGATAGTCTCAATCTCTTGACCTCGTGATCTGCCCACCTCGGCCTCCCAAAGTGCTGGGATTACAGGCGTGAGCCACTGCGCCTGGCTCATTGGTAAGAGAGACAGAGAGAGAGAGAGAGAGAGAGAGAGAGAGTGTGTGTGTGTGTGTGTGTGTGTGTGTGTGTGTGTGTGTGTTGAGACAGAGTTTTGCTCTGTCTCCTATGCTGGAGTGCAGCGGTGCAGTCTCGGCTCACTTCAGCTTCTGCCCCCTGGGTTCCAGTGATTCTACTGCCTTAGCCTCCTGGGTAGCTGGGATTACAGGCATACACCGCCACCGTGCCTGGCTCATTTTTTTGTATTTTTAGTAAAGACAGGGTTTCACCACATTGGCCAGGCTGGTCTCCAACTCCTGACCTCAGGTGATCCGCCGTCCTCGGCCTCCCAAAGTGCTGGGATTACAGGCATGAGCCACAGCACCCCACTATTAAGTATATTTTATTAGAAGGGGCCATGGGGTGAGGTGAGTAGGGGAATTGTCGGGAAAATTGCAAGACATTTTCCTTTCTTCACCTTTGCCACTTACCTGCCGTGAGCTCGTCAGCTCATCTTCTTCCCTCCCTGGGCATCCGTTTTCCCATCTGTGAAACAGGAGAATGAAATAAATTGACATTTTCCAAACTTACTCACCAAATGGCAAAGTTGAGTGACGTGATCTGACCTCTGTGTGTCTGTGGTGGGTGGGAGGCCGCCTCTGCCCACTCTTCCGTCCTACACACCAGAGAAGAAACCACACATCAGGGACTCCAGCCTGGCCCAGCTCAAGCATTCAGGACTTGGGTCTCATTCCCAAGCTGTCACTGAGGAAGGCTGGGAAGCCAGTTCTGTCACAAAGGTGGTTACTTTCCTGCCGTAAGTGAGGTTGGACCGAAGAGCTGCCTTTCCCGGTGTCTTAGCTGTGGGCTGTTCAAACACCAATCCTGCCCTGAACCATCTGTGGCTCCCTATTGCTTAGGGAATTAAGGCTACCTCCCTTCATTGATTCTGGCTTTGAGGCTCCAGATTCTGGCTCCAGCCTCTCTCCATGGTCCAGCCAGACACCCCGTCTCTGACTCCTGCAAACCAAGCCTTGGACACACACTTTATCCAGGGGCTTCCCTCCTCCCGGCCTTTGTTCACCTGCAAGGCCTCCCACCCATCTCTAGTGACTTCTTTTACCACCAATGAACTGTGTGTGCCCTTGTACATAATCTGTAGGATGTCATGAGGTATAGGAATCAAAGGCCATAGGCTCATAACAAGGGAATCTATCAACTTTATCAAAGCTTTGTGAATCTTAGAGAATCTAAGAGAAAAAAAGCAAGCATATTCAAGGGCAAATATAATTAATTACAATTAAGTTTGGGTAGATATACATGGGTGAAGAAAAAGACTGGAAGGAAACATAATACACCAAAATGCCCCAGGTCTTGAGTATCTTCAAGATAATAACATTAATAGGGCAGGCACGGTGGCTCAGGCCTGTAGTCCCAGCACTTTGGGAGGCTGAGGCAGTTGGATCACCTAGGGTCAGGAGTTCAAGACCAGCCAGACCAACATGGTGAAACCCCATCTCTACTAAAAATACAAAATTAGCTGGGCATGGTGGCACACACCTGTAATCCCAGCTCCTCAGAAGGCCGAGGCAGGAAAATCGCTTGAACCTAGGAGGCGGAGGTTGCAATGAGCCAAGATCGTGCCATTGCACTCCAGCCTGGGCAACAAGAGCCAAACTCCAACTCAAAAAAAAAAAAAAGCATTGATCACGGTGGTGATGATAGCTTACTCATGTTAAACACACCATGCAAGGAGAACACCACACATTTTATATGATCTCTTTCCCTAATTTTCTATACTTCAAGTTCTCTGTAATTTATGTGTGTAGCTTTTGTCGTAAGAAAGATGCGATGCTTTTTAACATATTAGAGTTAAATCATGATGGATGGAGAATTATTTTCGTGCAATGAAAAGTAGGTTCTGGATACAGGGGGCTAAAGTCAGACTCCTCCCACCTTCCAGATGAGGTTCCTAAGTTTCTTGACCCCCTCCTCTGCTGCCCCCTCCCCACAACCCTGCAACCCCCCTGAAAACTGGGCCCAACAGTGGGCTCTCAGAAGAATGAAGCTAGCCCTTGTCAGAAGAATGAAGCTAGAACCCCAGGTGCCAGGAGTCCCCTCCCCTGACCTGTTTTAGGTGACCCAAGCTCTCACAGCCACCAGGCAGCAGGGTAATGGTCAAGAGCCCAGACTCTGGAAGTCAGACTCTCCATGACCCTGTTGTATGCCCCTGTGTGAACTTGGCCAAGTGGCTCCTTCCTCTGTGCCTTGGTTTCCCCATCTGTAAAACAGCCATCATGGTAGAAGCCAGCTCCTTTGGAGACCCGGGTGAGGAGGAAACAGGATGAGTTCAGAAAAGTTCCATATCCAAGGTCCGGCTCACAGTAGGCCCTCAATACCCAGGTGCTGTCATCTTCATCATTATTATTTATTGTTAATCTGTTGAAGGAATACTCAGAGGCAGCAGGCAGACATTCCGCCAAAAGTAAGCTCTTAAGAAGAAGCCCTCTGGACGCGGGCTCGGAAAACCGGAATGTTAAAAAGATAAATAAAGGCTCTCTGTAGCTGGACAAAGTCTGGGCGGACCAGAGGGGGCAGGGGAATCCGGCTGCCGAGAAGGATTTAAGCCCTGGACAATGGGCGCTGTCTGAGCTAACCAGGGCCGCTTCTTTGAGTCGTGAGAAGAGCTATTTTCTCCTTTAAAGCCTTAAAGAGCTATTAAGTTGGGCAAATCACTGTAAAAACAGCTGGAAACCTAAGTAGCAATTTAAACAGCCCATTGCCCTTCCATCCTGACGTAGAATGCGTTCTCTGGGGCAGACCGTCTCCAGGTCCGACTTTGCCAAGCCTAAGAGGATTGAGTGGGGGACCCTTCCCCAAGCTCTGAATGCAGCCAGAGCTTTATTTAGCAAATCCACAATTTCTACCCCACCCCCTCCCTTTTTTTTTTTTTTTTTTT